GAAATTCCAACAGGGCAAAGAAATCTTAAAGAATTGCACAATGAAAACAGAATTTAAAAAATCTTATAGAGATACATGCTAAACTTAGGCAAGGAGTAAATTAAAGCTAGGGGGAAAAATTAAGGAAAAAAAATATTCATTTGGCCATTCATATATCATGGTTTGGATATTAATAGTGTACTGTCTCTGCACTCCATCAAATATCTAAACCTTGGAGTTAAATCTAAGATCATTTTTTAAAAACAAAAACCAAGCTAGGTTCTACACCTCTTCAAAGAAATGCTTCTCCTCACTGTAATTACCAAATTTTATGATATCAGCTGTCACATGCTAGCTGATGCATGGTCACTGCCTCATATTGTAAGACAAGACATGTTTAGGGGCAAACGTTGTGCTTCCTTAGAGCTAATCCTAGGAATTGCAAAAGGCCACAGAATGCTAAAGCCAGTTTGTGTCATTTCATAAAACGGCCTAATAAATTTTCAGGCAGCTTCGTCGGAAATGCTGTTGTTGCATAAACGTCCCTGGAAAGACCTTGTAAAATTCAGTTTATTTGTTTTAGGGTGAGAATGAAAAATCTCCATACTTCACCATAAGTAGTTTTTAAGTCCCCTCTACTTGCTTTGTACTCGGGCCCGGAATAACTACTTTCTCCCACGTTTCTCATTCTTGGCGCACCAGGACGTGTAGTCGCCAGCTGTTTGTTAAGATCACCTTTTGCTCTCTCCCCACCCATCTCAAATGCTTCAAGACATTTGCTTCATGAAGCTCTGGCTCTCAACCGAAATTTCCTCCAACAAAACACAAACATTGCAAACCACCAACTTCTTGGAAGCTCTTGATGTGCAAATATGTAAAGGAAGAATATTTTTTTTAAGTGATGGACCACCTCCTGGAGATTCATGAGGTCTGCACAAAAACCAACAGGAGAATTGCTCTTGCCAGATTAAATACCATCTGTCTCCAGAGCAGGCTGGGAACATGGGTGGCCCAAGCAGAATGCTTCTACGTGCAAGGAATAATCCTTGCAACTTTAATGTCTGCAGTGGCCTGGGGGTTAGGGAGAAAGGGCATTGCTCGAATCTTTCCCTGGCAAGATGCTCACGATGGATCTGCTCCTGGATCCTCTGGAAGTTTGATCAAGTATGAACAGAGCAGTACATTCTGGAGTTTCAACCCTAAATGCCCTTCCTTAAACTTACCTCTTCTCTTTCACTAGCAACCATGTGAGTGTCTCCAACCAGCTCCCAACTCTATCCTTAATGCTAACCTATCTGTAACCTTAACCCTTGGCTTGTGGCTCAAGAGTGGTCAAAATGGTTGGGCATGTCCTGTTATTGTGCTGCTATCATCATCATCATCATCATCAATAATAATAATAATAATTAGCAATTTTTAAGTCAGCCAGTTTTTACATAACTACCTGTAGAGTGCAGGAACAGACAAGAAGGATTCACCAGCAAAACAGGTAGCCAGTGGTCTCCTGTTGCTTCTCTGTTATCCATTTTATCAAGTATTGTTTATTGTCTGAACATTTTAACATGTGCATGAGATTTCAAGTTGATGGCCTTTGGCCATGGCAAAGGATGAATGAAATTGTTTCCGACAGCTAGCATACAGAAACAATTCGTAGCGAGTTCAGTGATATGCAACAGCAGTCAGTGTATGTCAGTCTTTACTATGTAAGATAATGATGAGGCTTTGGAAAATGATCCAAATTATCATTATAATGATAAGAGGTCATCCAATGAAGCTGACTGGAAGGGGATGTAGAACAAAAGTTCTTCCCAAAGCACATAATTAACCTGTGGAGCTCATTGTCACAAGATGCTGTGCTGGCTACTAACTTTTGATGGCTTTAAAGAGGATTGGATGAATGTAAGAAGGTTAATTCCACCAAGAGATCCAGTTTGGTGTAGTGATTAAGGTATCAGGCTAGAAACCAGGAGACCATAAGTCCTGGTCCTGCCTTAGGCACAAAGCCAGCTCGGGGACCTTGGGCCAATCCTTCTCTCTCAGCCCTAGGAAGGAAGCAATGGCAATAACTAGGTAGCACATACATTTTAGTCATCATCATCGTCGTCATCATCATCATGCAGAGCTGGTGGCATGATGCTGCAACACTGCTTTAATCTTTTTTTGAAAAATGCCTCCAATCCTGCAGATGCCTCTGTATGGGGGCGATGACGAGGGGGTGGGGGCATGAGGCCCAAAATGCCAAGATGGTGGCTTTGATCACACAGTTGTCACATCCATCTCGACTCTTTTGACTCCCAGATGCTCCTGATCACCATAGATTTAGATCAGGGCATTAATAAATTGGCAGTTTGGTCTTTAGTCCCTTCCTAATGATTCCTAACATAGAATTCACTTTTGGTTTACAGTACAGTAATCGTACCCTGACGGTAACAGAAACGCAGAGAGTTCTGACAAGGAGAGAAAGCTAAATGTATGGCCGTTGTTGAAGTACAGCCATGTACTGACAATTAATCATCATCATCCTAATAAATAATCAACTAATGAAACTGATTTTCTATCACTCCAGTGCAGAACTAGTTTTCTCCTTATTCATTTATATTAAAGCCAGTCAGATCTTTGGCAGAAAAACAAGCGCTTTCTGGCCATATCCTTCTTTTTTTTTTTTTACATGCAGGAAGGGGGGTTGGAATAATCTGCTACCAAAAATGAAACATCTGCTCTTTATTATCTCTCACTTGCCCTCTTTGCAGAGCAATATTTCTCCACGGTGCACATTATCAGCATTCCTTGAGCTGGTAATGTTTTCGATAAGTGACATCTTTACAATAATTGCAATAATGGTCCCCAATTAATTCACCCTGCCAGGCTGATGCATGACAGAAGAACAATGGGGAGTACTTGTGTGTGAAATTGCACACAAATTTGGAAATGGCACGCTGACAGGAACATTGGACTCGAGGCAACACGCAACCATCGCTTGCGTTAGCTGCTGGAGGGTTCTTGCCAAGCCTGTTTTGTTGGTCCTGTTATTTAGGAACAGTCTATTCTTATGCTAAAACAAACAAACAGTGATCCTGACATGTACACAAGGGCCCCTGTTTGCACAAGAGGGGATCCATTAGCCATACTTCATATGGCCTGGATTCAAGCAACTGTTACGTTGCATAAAAGCGGTCATGTAACTGAATCAAATGGGTTCCTTGCCTACTAGTCGGTCATATTTAATGATTAAATCACACACACACACAAGAACACTGTAGAAGAAGCTGCTAGTGTTGGGCACTGAATTTATTCATTCATCAATGGATGAATTGTTTTACACACACACACACCCTCTCTCTCTTTCCCCACATGCACATCCAGGCACACAAACAGACATATTGTTTGCATTTCTTCAATTCTTTGTCGGTGGTTAACTGCTCTGTCTCTTTGCTTGCTTTATTTGCACCCAGGGCATCTGCAAAAAAAGTCAAGATGGGCCCTATGCCCTTGTGATTGTAACCTAGCCCCCTTTTGAATTGCATTTGTGGGTGTCAACTTAACTTTTTTGACACCCCATGCAGATGCCCCTGGTTTCACCCACACAGATTCTGGTGGGAAATTGAAACAGAGAATTGGACTGATTCATCATCTCTTCCCTGACTAACCAAATAGATAAGATCAGGGTGAAGAGACAAAGCTCCACAAGACCCAAGTGTGTTCTTCCTCTGAAAGGAAGAAATGATTAGCGTCACTCAGATCAGTGTTGTTTCCCCTCCTCGTTTTTTAAAGGACTCACCTCAGTCCACAGCAGAATTGCCCTCAGGCCCAAAACAGAGAAGCTCAACTCAACCTACTGAGAAGGAATTCTGGCATCAACCAAAATCTGACAGGCCAGATTCACACTACAGAATAAGGGCTACTGTGTAAAGGCCACTAGTCTTGCCTGGGCTCTTGACTTTTCAAACCAAAGGAAAGGAAGTCCAAGTCAAGGAGCACTTAGTATATTGCAACTACCAGCACATTCAACAATGGCCTAGAAGAAATAGTTGCGATGCTGTCCAGTGTAACCATTTTGACCCCAGGAAGGATGGTCAACCCTGTGTCACCCTGATAATCCAAAAATAAATGTGCTGTAAAAGATGTTCAAGATCCAGGGAGAACTTGAGACTGAGCTAAGATACAGAGTGAGCTAAAACTTTACAAAAACTTATCACAGTATTCTTCTTTTACTTCTTCCATGTAGTAACCAACTAGAATTGTTTTACTCTATTGGAGTGCCAGGCGAGGATGTTCCCTCTAGCATTTTTCCCCTTACCAGTTGATGAAAAAGGATGTGCTCTCAAAATAGCTCTTGAAGGAGAAGAAAAAGTTGATGACCTTCTCATGTCTGGATTGGGCTTTTCCAGCACTTAAGAGGGATGACGTGGTCAAGGCAGAGTTGTGAATGGCCTCAGTGTCATTACACAACCCTCTCACCAGCAGTCTGAAGCCTTCACAGCTTCTGGGGCTTCCATGAAAACTTAAGGGAAAACCTCAAGTGGGAACTCTTTCTGGGGCTCTTTTCCAGGAGCAGCTTTGCTGTCCCTGTGGGAGGGACTTCTGCCTTTGAGAAAGCGTTGGAGAATTTCTTCTGGAGAAACTGTCCACGCAATTTATCTAGATGCACATCTGGTGGAGAATTTTGAAAGGTCAAGAGTGGACTTGCTGGTGTGAGCAGCTTTCTGCTCCCATTCCCATCATAGATCGTCCCTCAAATGTCCTTTTGCCTTGATAGCATATTGACTAGATGCCATTTTTGCAGTGACCTGTCAGTTCTGAATTTTTGTTGCTGACCCAGCATGGCACTAGAATAATGATGGTAGGAATAGCAGTTGCAGTAGAAATAGTGAAATAGTCATATAATGATAGTACTAGCCATAATAGTATCATCCTTGAGTATTTGTTCTAGGTCTACAGGCCAACTAAATGTGTGGTCCTTCTGCTTTGCACTTTTGTCTGGCCTTGCACCCTGGAAGAAAAGGAATAAGCTAGAAACTTACCAAGGACAACAAGTTGGATGGTGAGGTTTTTATAGAGGCCATACTTCGTGTTCTTCAAATGTAGGGTAAAGTTCCCAGCATGCTTCGGTCTCACATCCCTGATGATTATCCTGTACCTCACAGGGTCTAATTCATAGCAGTCACTCGCTTTGGTCAGGTTGCCATCTTTGTACCTTAGTTGAACCAGAAAGGGTGGGAATGAAAATCAGCTAAGACAAAGGAACAGGGGACATCACATTTCAGAGCAAATTTAATTCTCTAATAGCCTAGATGTTCAGGCCAGTTCCCTCTCCACCCTGCCCAGGTGGAATGTTCCCCACTTTTCCATGAATCAGACCGATCATACGGTAAATTCCCAGTGATCAGTGACTGATTTCTCCTTGCACTGGAGGTCAAACCAGCTTTTCTCAACTGGTGAACTTCAGAGGTTTGGGGACCATCCTCTGTTGGTGATAGCTGAGAATTCTGGCAGTTTTGCCCCCACAAATCCTGAGGGAGTCACACTGAAGACATGTAATTCAGAGATGGCAAAAGAGTTTGATCAGATGATTAAATGGATCGTGAGCTTTCAATGTCATTCATTTCACAAAGCTGGATTCTTATCTCTCTGGTCAGGTTTCATTGTAGGGACACAGGGAACAAAACTTTAAAGCTCTAATGTTTGAATGCTCTATTGCAATATGATATTATGGTAAAAAGCCTGGGAGGCTGTGGTCCCAAAAATCAAGATAGTGGCCAAGATGGTGCCATGGAAGTTCTATCTGTTTCTTATGTGTGACACAGCCGCCATCCTGACCTTTTCGACTATGCACTATGTTCACACCTGAAGACTATCCATCCAAGAATTAGGCCATAGGCCACAAAAACTGAGACTGAAATAAATCTATTAAGCATTAAACCACCATGTTACTTGCAGCAGGAAAGGACAGTGAAGAGAAGCACATCAGTGTTTACAGCATAATCATTTTTCTTTCTGCTCCTATTGGCAAGGAACTGAAAACTATGTTGGCAAATTTAGGAGGCTTTTAAAAGCTCATTCTCTGAGTTTGAGAGTTGGGGAGTGGGAGGCAACGATTGGTGTCAGCTGCAGGACTGGAGAGACGCTGCCATTTTGTGGGTGTACTGGGGGCATGGAAATGCTATGGGTCCACAGCTGTTCCTGCAACCCTAAATCCTGGCTTCTTGGCCCCCTTCCTTGTTGGTCCTATCAAAGCTAGAACTCTATTCTTAGGGAGATAAGGTCTGGATTTTGGATATTGCTGTTGTTATTTCTTTACGTCTCTGAAGTACCTGAATTGGCTAACCGATTGTGTGAAAACCTACAGCCGTTAAAGTGACTGTCAATCATATTTAATCCGGCTTTGTTAGTTTCTGGAAATTGTTTTCTAAGCAGTGAAGAGTGTTCATGCAGAAGTAGCCCAGTCTGCCAAATGATTTCTTCCATGCTGTGGCCCTGCCCATTTCATGTGATGGAAAAGAAACAGCTTCTAAAAAGTTTTGCAAAGGAGAAGAACATTTTGTGAGATGGCTGTGATGAGTCATTGGGTACTTGCATTGAGCAAAGGTCTAAGGCAAAGGAGGTGACAGGAATATCCTGTCTTCTACTGATCCAAGATGCCAGGAGGCAAGTCTTCCAGGAGAACCATCTCAGGCAGGAAGCAAAAGCAGACAGGGAAAAAGGGTCACAGGGGAATGGGGTGGAAAGGGATGGTAAGAGATGTAAGGCAACAAACAAAACCCATAAACTTAGCCCTCGTGAAACAGTAAACTTAACTCGGACAATCTACAGGGATCCTATAGCACCCTGAACGTGAGAAGAGAAAGTGAAGCTTGTCTTGCAAGGCTAGAAAAATCTTGGTAGATAGATTTTGGTATGAAGGTACCCAAGGGAAGGGCTCATTGAACAGCATAGGACATCCAGGTTGAAACCTTCATTTAATTATCAAACTGTCTGAAAACATCCTCATATATGAGATTAGAGG